TGCCGCCAAGTGGAAGGCTGACCACCACGCGGTCGCTTCCAGCCAGGTCCTTGACGAGCGAATAGAGCGCGACGCGGTAGACGCTCAGGTGCCATGCGTAGGACATGACCGAGCCATCTTAACTGGCGCAACAAAACCAGTTTGTTGAAGGAAATACTTGCATTCCCCAAGACGCGACGTCGGACGTCATTACTGGTAACTCGATGTTGCCACCGAAAACGAGCGATCCTCCTTAAGCAACCGTTATCGAACGCAGAAAGACGACGCATGTCTTCCACGCGAATCGGCCAGGACTCGCTCCCGTACAACAATACTGAGCGAACGGACGCGCTGTAAACTCGGCCCTTTAGTGAGAATGAGACGTCGCGACGACGCCACAAGTGCCTCAGATTGACAAATACTGATCGAGCTTTAGCGATACGAAGCGAAACTTCTTTGTTGATTGTGCCGTCAGCGGAAACACAGCTCCCGAGGTAGACGAAACTATCTACCTGTTCAAGTTGTGCACCTTGGAGAGTGAGCACGGGTGCAGGTGAAAGCCAATCCTTGAGCAGTACTTTACACTTCGATGGGGCGAAGCTCATGCCATACTTAGATGCTTCAACCGCCAAACGATCCAGAATGAGTTGCATACCCTGAGGATCGTCACCAAGTAAGGCGATATCATCAGCATAATCTAAGTCGGTCGCGCGCTCACCCGGTAGAAGCTCTAGGCCAAAATGTTGGAAACCTTCTAGGGCATTCGACAGAACGTCTTCGATTGCGAAGTTGAAGAGGAATGGGGACATAGGGCAGCCCTGTCGCACACCGCTATTGACAGTGAATTGCGAGGAAAGCTTGCCATAGACCCTCACTCTGCCGGATGTGTGAAGGTAAAGTGCTCGTAAGATGGCGATATATTTCTCTGGCACCCCGTTCTTTAGTAAGCAACGCCATAAAGCAGGTCGATCAACGGAGTCAAAAGCTGCACGTATGTCTAGGAATCCAACGATAGTGGGCCTGTGATAAATGTGGCGATGTTCAAGGAGTTGGCGGAGCGTGAAGATTTGATCCACGCATTCGCGGCCAGGACGGAAACCAGCTTGTTCTTCACGGTAGTACGATTCACGTACTGGGGATAGTCTACGAAGTAGAATGGATGCCAACAGCTTAGAGGCAACCGAAATAAGACTAATCCCGCGATGATTTGCACATGAAGTGCGAGCGCCTTTCTTGAAAATTGGGACAATAACTGATTCGCCCCAAGAGGGAGGCACTCTCTCTTCATGCCAAATTTTTGCGAACAGCGCGGTTAGCTGGTTAATGACTGCCACACCGCCATACTTGAATAGCTCCGGAGGGAGTCCGTCTAAGCCGGCAGCCTTGAAGCGCTTCAAGCGTCGAATCTCGAGGCAGACTTCCGCTTCGCTGGGTGGATTCAATGGGACTAGCCAAGGTGGACCGCAAGGTGTACTGCATGTACTGATGGATGGTGGAGGCCAGTTGAACTGCGAGTGAAAGTGCTCGGCCCAGCGGTCCATACGCCTCTGTTGGTTGGTGATCGGAGACTCATCCACCTCACAAATGACCTCACTGACACCAGGCTTCCTGAGGCCAGTGGACCGAATGAGTTGGAAAAGCCTGCGTGTGTTACCAGAGAGGGCAGCAGTCTCCATCTCTAAAGCACGCTCAAACCACCATGTCTCGCGATCCTTGCGGAGGCTTTGCTTAAGCAGCCGGTTGGTAGAACGGCGCCGCTCGTTGCAATCTGATTCCGCGGAGATATCTTTGCGGCGTTCGAAGAGCTCCAGAGAACGAGCAGAGATCCAAGACTTCAAAGGGCGTCTAGTTAGACCGCAGTATGACTGTCCGGAAATGGTCAGCTCATTCCGTATACAAGTCCAGTGTTGTTCCACTTCTTGAGGTGGATTGCAACTGAGTGCATATGCCAATGAAGACTGATAGCTCGTCTGGACAGAGGAATCAGTTAATCTGTTTACATCAATCTTGCGGTGCTTCGTGTTTCGGGATCCTCCAAAACACATACAGATTTTCGCGCAGACCAGAGCATGATCTGAATCAACGAAAGTGGACCAAAAGGACCTGCAGTCTAGTACGCTGCCGCGCCATCTGAAGCTAATCGCAATGTGATCAATTTGAGACCACGGTTGTGTTGGCGAAGGGGGACGCCAAGTTGCGGAACGTTTCTTCGTACGTCTGAAGCTAGTGCTCGAGAGAAACAGACGGTTGTCCTCGCACAATGTGAGAAGTCTCTCTCAGTTATCAGAGCGGTTCTCATCGAGCGCGTGATGACCACCAAGGTGGCGTTCGTATGGTAACTGGCGGCCAACCCGTGCATTAAAATCCCCAGCAAGGATAACGACATCCGACTTTTTAGCATTAGTCAAGAGCTGTTGTAGATCTCGGTAGAAATCGTCCTTGACCGAGTTGCTACTGCAGTCAGTTGGAGCGTATACAGAGATCACAAACAAGTTGCGTCTCTCTTCGCGTTGCCTGTTGATTCTACATGAACCCCGAAGCCGAACTGCACATAGTCGGCTGTTAATCGGGAACCAGTCCAGTAGTGCCGCCTCGGCCTTGCCACTCAGTGCTATACCTACACCAGCCAAACCCGCTGAGCTTGCTTCTGGATCCTCAGAAAGACGCAGGTGATATCTGGCTTCGTGGTCAGTGGGGGATGTCAATGTAAGCACAGTGCTGGGATCTTGCAATCGGGTTTCTGAAAGGCAGCAGACATCAATGTCTAGGGAATCTAGGGTGCGCGCTAGACCGGCTTGCTGTCCAATCTGCATGAGTGTCCGGACGTTGAAGCACGCTAGACGGAACGAGGATTGGGGACGAAGGAGAGCCATAGGTTGAATTCCTTGATCTGCGGAGCAACCGGAATCGCAGCCAGATTGTTGAACAGATGAATCGGGTAACCGAAAGTGAGGATTGTTAGCAAACAAACAATTGGCGTGTGATGGAGTAGCGTGAAAGTGAGTAGCAGGAATAGTAGCTGATGAGCGCGTTGTGGTACAGTCCATGGTTTTGTGAGAGGGCGTGATACTACCCGGTTGCCCAAGCCGAAGTAGGGAGTTGACTTAAGGGACTCCACCCCGAGCCTTTGGCTAAATAACCTACCCGCAAGGCAGCGGGGCGAATTTAGGGAATCGCGCCCATTGGGAGGCGTTGACTGAATGATCAGCTCATGCGCCTTTGTTTGGTAGATTACCAAACAGGGGCCCAATACTCCCCATGAAGTCAGCACAATTGCTGGAATACAATGCCCCACGGAGGTGGAACATTGTCGCCGAACACTTTGCTGGAACGGGGTACACCCGAACCACCCAGCTGGCACCACGGGGAGGTAGTTCGGCAAGCCAGCCATCAAGTTTAGAGAGGAGGTGCATACGAATTTCAGCGTCATCAGGGGACTGTAAGGCTCTTATATATATGAGACACTTAAACTGATCATCCGTCAATGAGTGTAGCTTAAAACGTTCGCATTCATGGCTGACGGTGTCGGCTAATGTGCCATAGTCATCAGTATCGCGTTTAACTATATTCAAGCATTGAAAACGAACCCTAAATAACGAAACCGACTCACGGGATATCTCAGAAAGCTGGGATACTGTTTCATCAAAGGGGAGGTCTTTAGGATGTTTCGGCAAGATGTGGTCGAGAAACCTTGCGTGTTCGTTAGTTCCAAGTTTTCGGAGGAGGAGACGGACTTTCCAGGAATCTTCTTGACCATTGAAATCGGTGCAGAATAAGTCTTGCCATCGTTTGAACCATGTCTCGAAAGTAGAGCCACAATTTGGAGCATAACTGAACTCAGTAATGGAATTGCACAGGACATCAACGGAATTAGTTTGATGGGTTGGACGAGTAGCCTCGGGTTGCACGTTGAGTCGCTGTGTGAGCGTCTCGATCAGTTTCATTTGCGCTTCCGTTTGTGCCTGTTACTGCCGTATGAGTTCATGTATTTGTCGTTCATAGTACCCCAACTGATATGGAAGCTTCTCGGCCATCTGTTATACCGTGGGTTCTTGAAGTAAGGTAATCAAAATACTCCGTCGCCACTTGATATGGTCGCAGAGATAGACTTAATCGCGATGGTTCACACCGACTCCTGAATGAGAGGCCAAGGTATTGAGAGAACACGCGACACTAGCGAGTAGTATGTGTATTGAGTACACAAAACCCCAAGGGTCAAAAATGCCAATAGCACAAACTACACGTGTCTGTAACAGTCGAAACATGTGCAATGTTATAGGAGGTGTGTTTTTTCACAAGTGTTGCATGTTGTGTGAGCCAAGGGACGATAACAATGTTCTGTTGCATAAAACAAACGCACTGTTCTGGTTTTTGGCGAAAAACATGCCAACTCTGTGTAATTCACATGCAGTCATTTGGTGCACACAAATTGAAACATGCTTGGTTCCGTGTTCTGGTTGCAAGTACAAGTTCGAACACACTTCTGTGGCACAATCTGGCTTCGACTATCCAAACCTCTGGATCTTATTCGGATTAGGTTTTGGTTCTAACCCTAACATACTATCTATTTCGATGGAAGTCTCGGCATTACGGCCACTTGTTTTACTTGCTTCCAAGACCGATGTTGCGCAGGATTCAATCCGCTATTCTTTCACATTATGAGATAATCCGGACTACTTTTACTCCACGCCAGTCGAGATGACTACTTACTCTACGAGCTATTGGCTACCATATCATAGTTCCGCATGATGAAATCAGCCTTTCTCAACCTCTAATACGAATCAAATTAAGTTCCGGGAGGTCTGACACCTGATCATTGGCCAGTCTACTGCATTTAGCGTTAGCTTCGCGAAGTATTTATCATCTAGTATCTTACAGTGAATCATGGAGACATTTATTCCGTGAGAGTATGAGGTTCCAACGCTGTGTGATAAGTTTGCCTCATCAGATGTTTGGGATGTAATAAGAGTAAATGCGTAACTTTTTAATGCTCAGTAATCGCGCTTTCGAATTCTTTTCCAGCTGCTAACTACCTCCGTATGCACACAAAATTTGGCAGGAAGCGTGTTCTCTTCCTTCTCGGGCTGTTGCTCAGCATTATACTGTGCATGTACCTATTTCTCTCACAAGGTTCATTTTTTCACCTCTGGAGCCGTTATTCTTCTCGCCACATCCCATTCACTCTTTGGCAAAATAGTATTTCTCAGAGAGGTCAGTCAACGGATGCCTCATGCCATATATTTCACTTTTTCCTTGATCACAACTCTTTATGGAGCGTTTGTTCCTCGTTAATGCATTCCGTTTGTATCCATTACTTTTGTCTCGCAATCAACGTTTCTAATAGACCAAGTTAATAAAACTGCTCTTTAAATTGTTTAAGACGGTGACTGACGAGATGTGACTGAGGGTCGACCAGATGCCCATAATTCCACAACTATACTCTTACTCATAGGGGCTTTTATTGAACCTAAATTATACATGTACTATAACAGCAACCGGATGTCCCCGGTGTCACCGACTTTCATCACACATGCGTTCACTGCCTGTTCACATTACAGACCAATGTTGCAATGTAAAGTGGAGCACAATGTTGGTCACTATAAGAACCAGCAGGAACCGATTAGTCAGAAGTGTGAACATTACGGGACCCAACGTGTGTGGTACAGAGCTACAGTGAACTAAGAGCAGATTAACAAGAGCACGGAGGAAAGTAGCGCACGACTAACAGCGAATTCGAAAGTGAACTAGATGTACTGTCAGTCAAACAAAGGGATGATCGGAAAATACAAACAAGAATAAAATCCAATGTCAAAAAATAGTAAATACTTCATGTTCACTGCAGAACTCCAAGGCCTTACGGGCGCCTGGAGAATAACTTCCAACGGGGGCCATCTCTCCTACTTTAATTTGAAGTGAGTATAATAGTGGTTCAGAACGCTTCTTATGCATTCCAATGGAATGGTAGCACACTGAACCACCGCGTTTCTTCGGTGCAGCTGCTGTTGCAACAGACTAATACCATTGTTTCACGTGCTGTGATTGACGAGCAAGCAACGAAGCTAATCACACCTTAGAAATTAAAAGGATGAACGCATTCCTTACGAGGTCATGGTCAAGATCGACACAAGTATTTCAAACTAATGACTAATCCTGAACCGAGGCACAGCATCTGAAGCACATGACTGTGTGATATTCTTGAGTCTGGGATAGCCTACCGTCTACTAGGCACTACGTAAATCGATGTTAGCGTTGTGCCAGAAGACTGCGCTGCCGGCACTAACATTGTGGTCAGAATGCGACTGAAGTAAGTAGCTACCTTTTCGATGGCACGAGCGTTGACCCGGAGGTGATGCTCTAACTTCGAGAATTCGCCAACCTGAGCATTCGTATATCCGCAGCAATCACAATGCTTCTACTTTAAGCCATTCGAAAAAGGGCAGTGAGCGGCCCATAGAATTTGTCTCTGAAGGTCTATGAACGACCAGTGCTTGTATATGCCTAATAAACTGAGACTTATCTTGTTTTCGGTCATTCTTTCATGGTGACGACCGAACTCCGTAGCCGATTTTAAAACATGCAACCAGTTACTTGGAACCACCTTTTATGAGCGACTACCGCGCATCTTATGATGATGACTAAGATGCCTCAGTATCGCAGGCCACCAACACAAACGCGACGCCTGTGCTCGCCGTCACTGAAAATTGAGCAGTCTAACGGTATATACATTAAAGGCTGTTATCTGTATGCTCTTTCCAGAGCTTATGCATACATAAATGCCATTGGCCCATAAACTGGAACCACGTGCTCTGCGAACTGGCCCGACAGGTAATAGAATCACTTAGAGAACCGGAGCTTGTCAATGCCCTCGGTTTCCAACATTACTTGGCTTTGTTCGCTTGGCTGTAAGTTCGGAGATGGTCCGCTGACGACAAGTATTGAGAAGTAATGGAAAGGAGGAAAAAGGATTATTGGTTGCACGTTTATAAAAAAGAGGACTGTGATGAGTGCTTTTTCGAACATTTATCGGTACATTAAACCTCATTTCATGTTCATTGGATTCCCCTTGGATTTTGGGGATTCGGATACCCAGGTCTTCCATTCCTATTCTCTCGCATGCTGCATTTGAGGTGTGTGTGCAGTGTTTTCGAGTGGGCACCACCTGATTTCCATTAACATATGTGCTTACTAGTTCAACTTAAGCTTTGGGTCTAGGCGTACTCGTGCTGCTGGTGGAGACGCGCTTCATCCTCAGACCACAACTCACTATGTACTAATTCTCTCCCAGTCCAACCACGGGGACCGCATTCGAAGCGGGATCATTTTTATCGTCATGAGCGAGGAACACGGTAAATAACCGCTTTACACATTTGCGGGTAACCACTGACCTTATACCTCAAGCGATGATTCCGTAGGCTCATTTTATTCCTCCGTGATGATTCCATTGTCAAGAAATAGGCGATGCTTTCATTCCATGCAACTCGTGTAACAGTGATTCAACCTTTGATCCACTTTCAGTTGACCCAACCGTATTTTGTTGGGTCACTACCATGCCGTCAAACCACCAGTCGAAAGCAGTGCACGTTAAAAACACATGGTTGAGACGATGTGATGGGTACGTCTTCATTAGCAGTGAAGAGGATGCCAGTCTTCCGGCTGTTGGTAAGCATTACATCCTTTCATTAGCGCTCATTATGATTTATTCTTTGCATGACACGTCCTGCCTTCATTTATAACAACCCTCTTCTTACACTTCCATTCAATTTGGCTATTAGAGATGTCGTAAAGATCTTTCAGGGAAAAACATTTATTTTGCAAGGACAAAACAGCAAAATGACGGCATCTTACGCCCGCAAATTCGATTAATAGTGTTCACTGGCTACCATTAATAGCGACCATTTCGGGTCGATAATGCTCTTTCCTTGAATCTATCAAACGACGCACTCTAGTGCGGTCAAACAGTGCCTGTTAACTAACATCCGTGTGTGAATCGTCCAATGACGGAGTCCGTTAGGTTCCTTTTCCGTTGGCTATCTAGTTCCTTCTTCTGGTCCATCTGTTGACTCTGATCAATCACTTCAAACGCACCTTCCGCTTTTTCATGATCCTGCAAATCTAGTTTGCAGAATATTGTGTACATTTCGCCGCTACGCACTGCCTTCGCGTCCTGTGCAGCTGTGATGTTGACACACGCTATAGGGTACCCGCCTTCAGATTCACCTTATCCTTTCCGACACCGCATAAACTACACCTCCTCCTTATGATCATTATCATCATCCACATCATAAATGAGGGTGCGAAACACACTTCGGCTAATGGGCCGCAGTACAAAAGGAGAAGATACTAAACATCACGGACTACAAACACAAAAAAGTAGGTCATATAATGCCTAATATCATATTAAGCATCACTTGGGAAAACGTGGTTGGAGGGGGCAGATAAGCGCGAGAGGGCGGGACAAAAACTCACAACACCAACTCCTTTGAGGCCGGCTTTTTGCCGAATCAGCAACTGTATGCAACCAAGCGTGTCCATCTTTATTCGGACCCCGGTCTGGTAGTAGGGGCACGCCAAGTTCGAAGTGAGGGACCTCATTCCCCTTGATCAAGTCATCGTTTGGCCTCTCCTCTTCTTCCATCCAGACCTCGGGCGTGCAAACAACGCGCATCGCTTGAGTTGGTTGGCTGACATGCACAACACGTGGTCCAGCCATCAGAGCCTGGTGCGTGATATAATGGTGGTGAGCGGTTCACTCGCTCTTCCTGCACCATATACGCGGCACCGAGGACGCTCATTGCTCACGCGGTGTTCCTACCAGACATAAGTTAACATGTGAAGGCCGCGATGGTCGTACGCAACTGGCCTCGTTATGTCTGTCGATCTGATGAACCAGTTTTCGCAGCTGTACAAGAGGGTTAAACAGATGGTTGCGTTATAAATCCTGCCATTCAGGGAGATGTTGATGTCGCGCCGGCTCCATAGGTGACGGAGCTTAGGAAAATTGCCTCTATCTCTTGCTTTGTGGTTCGTAACCTCATAATTTCTATTCCACGGGCACTAATATAGCTGCCCAGATACTTAAATTCCTGGACGATTTCTAGCTCATCTCCACCAGAGGTCTGCACATAGTTGGATCTCTGCCAATCTTGGAGCAGGACTTCGCATTTCAAGGATGCAGTGCATAGTCCAAAATGATCGCCTGTCAGTGCTAATCTGTCCAGCGCTGATTGACACGTTTGGGAGCTGTCACAGGTTAGTACGATGTCGTCCGCATACTCTGAGTCAATAAATCGCTCACCAGGAAGTAGCTCCACACGTTGTAGATCATGTCCATTGAACGCAGTTTCCATGACTTCGCCAATGGCGAAGTAGAAATGAAGAGGTGACAGAAGGCAACCATGTCTCACACCGCTGGAGATATGGAAGAGAGGCAGCAGTTTGCCCGAACTATGGGTGTACACCGCTCTGGTGTTGTTTACATATTTTTCGGGCACAGCTTTTCTGTGTGCACAGTCCCAATGAGCACCGCGTTCCACTGAATCGAACACACCGTTGGTGTCGAAAAACACGGCTGCGGTGGGTTGCCAATACATACGGCGGTGCTCTATCAATTGACGCAAAGTATAGATGCAGTCAACGCAGCCTTGATTTCGACGAAACTCGGCTTGCTGCTCACGGATCTGGCGTTCACGTGGGCCAGTCAGTCTGTGAATAACGAGAGACACAAACAGATCAGGCTGATTCCTATTTGATTGCCACATTCGGAACGGGAGCCTCCCTTGAACATTGGGGCCATAACGGAGCGGCTCCATTCTGCTGGGGCAGTCTTCTGCTCCCACAGTTTCACTAGTGACTTGTACAAATCCCCCATAAGAGCAGGTCCTCCTTATTTGAAGAGGTCTGAGGGAAGTCGATCTACCTTTGTGGTCTTATTCAATTTTAACAGTGATCTCACGTTGGACTTCTGCACGTGATGGTGGATCCAGGTGGATGGCCCAGAGTGTAGGGCGATCAATGCCCGAACAAAAAGATGATAATTCTGGCTGCTTAATCTGTGTCTCCAAGCGTTCGATGCAACACTCCAAGCGTTTTGCCAAGCTGTGAATAGTCTGTCCACTCTCTTTGCTTTTGGTCAGACCATCACCAGTCTCCTGTTGCCCGTTTCCCTTATCAGACGGAATAACTTCCGATGGTTACTGTGAGCAGCGGCTGTTTTCATCTCCGAGGCACGATGATCCAACTAAGTTTCCCAGTCTCACTTCATGCTAGCATGCAGTTTTACCCTAAGATTTTTGCGGGTCTCATTATATTCGCTTCCAGCCGAAATACCCCAGCCAGCATCCGGAAATTCCACTTGCTGTGTAGAGACCCATTGTCTAGGCTGACAATTTGATTTGTCACACAAAGATATGCCTGCCGATAGTAATGTCTGGCGAATATGCGACCATTAATCTTCAACTGTGTTCGTTGGGCGCTTACTCAGTTCGAATGCCAGCATACTTTGATACGCATTCAGATCACATGGCTTCGCCAGTCGGCTGGTGTCTATGCGCTCACAGCGCCGTTGCGGACGTGCACCGGAACGCACCCGCAGATCGGCACACACAAGAGCGTGATCGGTGTCCACGCTCGTACCCCAGATCGAGCTACAGTTGTGTACACAGCCTCTTCATCGGCAACGGATCGCGATGTGATTGGTTTGCGTCCATGGTTGATCCGAGGCTGGCGGACGTTAAGTCACTCTTCTGCAAATGCTTTGTCGAAAGTTAGTGTTCGCGAGAAAGAGATGGGCATCTTCACCCACGTGTAGCAATTGCTCACCGTTAGTATTACGGGAGCCTACACAGTGTTGGTCCCGCAGATGAAGTTCATCAGTGGACATTTCTCCAACTTAGGCGTTAGGGTCACCAGAAAGCACAACAGCACCCTAAAGAGATCGCTAAGTTAGGGATAGAAGTCACCTTTCACCGAATTAATGCTACAGTTTATAGATTCGTGCAGCAATGACCAACAGGCACCGTTTGTCTGCACGCGACTTCGAAACCTGCAACGAGCCAGACCCTCTAAGGACGCACAGCCGGCGGTTGACTGGGATCCAGTCGATCAGGGCAGCGCGGGGGCTCAAAACCATGCTTACGCCGCTATTTGAAGCTGCGTCACTTCCGGACAAGCGCAATGAGAAAGGGACGCCAGTTTCACATGTGAGGGGATTGCAGGGAAAGCACATGGTTCGAAACGTGCAGACGGGTTTCCGATAAGCAGCAGCTATCGATTGATAGGGTCTCTAGTGTTCTGGCAAGTGCTGCCCATTAGCCAGGCTGTAACAAAGTGCGCACGTTAAGGCAAGTTAGTCTTATGAAGGATCGCGGGTTCCAAAGAGAAAAGGATGAACTGACGTTGTCTGCTTAGCTTGACATGGACTTGTCGACTTAACCGGAGCGATCTCCTGCGCCTGCTTGCGAGTGGAAACTAGAAGACAAACGCCTATTGAATTAAAATGAGGACGGGCCAAGAAGTTGGGGTTGAAAACGTGGGAGATAAAAGTGGTGTTGAAGCAAGACGATAAGGATAAAAAGGCGCAAGAGGAGAGATGGGACGTCCTGAACAGTAGCATTCTCACCCCAAATCAGCCTGCTTGATGTAGCAGATACGGAGCCATTGATTATTCTCTGCGACGGCCAGAGCATTAAATAATTCTTTGCACATAGTTTCATTGTACTGCATGGTCAGGATAAGATCAGTTTGCCCGTGCCTAGACAGGAGAACAATTAGGGTTCTCGAGCAAAGCCTTTGGTTCAGATACCTGTCTTCAAGGCAGTGGGGTTTTGGCACGGCTGCAGCGAGTCCGTTTTAAGGAATAATGAGCCACCTTTACTCCAACCCCAGCCTGGAAGGTCAGGAGACTGAGTTTGTCAAGCCTCTTACTATTGAGCAGCCTGTGTGAGTGGCTCTGTAGATGCAAAACGTAGCACCCAACATAGCTCAATAGATTAAGTCAAGTCAAAATAGGCTTTATGTACCCGACTGTGCACATTTTCAGCACTGAGGCACAAAAGCCATCGCAGCATCTTAAGGTCCAGTCTCGTCACTTCGGGTAGTAGCCGAAATCCTCGGGTGCAGCAGCGTTTTTGATTATTTACAGGTTCCCTAGGCTTCTTCACAGTTGCTCATATGGTGGCGAAAAGAGTCGTAAAATTGTAGCCGATGCAGGCATCATAGTTCTTATCCTTTTAATACATATACACTGTAAGACCTTAGGCAAACATCCGAAGGTGGGATGTCGCTATTCTCCAAAGGCCTGAGTTACGGGTCCTCCTGAGTAGATCTGGCTTTTGGTAATATCCGCTTACCTTACTTTATTGTCCGCTCTTTTTGTTGGGCTGGGTGTGTTACAGGCTCGTTTGTCGATGCACAAGATCCCCATGGCTGCGAAGCTATGGAACCTAGTGACAGTGAGGTGTGCTTGAATATCAATGGTCAATCCTTCCGTGCTGGCGGGACTGACATCTCAGTTTGTTAATTGCTACTTCCATAACGTTGGTGGTGGTTGTGAGTGGATTGGTTTCCGAATAATCGTCACTGTGATTATGTAGTTTAACGGTTGCTCGAAAACTATCCACTGCCATCTGGTTTGGTCTGGGACATCATGCAACATCACTGTT